TTCAGAGCCTTTTGAGAGAAACGAGAGTGGACCTGTCTTGTTCTGAGAGCAAGTGGAGTATGTCTGTGCTAATCTAAACCCAACCCCCCTAATTCCTAGTCGTCAGGCGCACGAAGCTCACTCTTCTATAGTAATCTAATTAATTTATGAGTTCGTTTTTCTTCCTTACATGGTTCCGTTGTTGGGGCCTCCGCGACGAAAGTCAAGCCTCATGCCTTTAAGGCTGGTATCTTCCATGGACCCGAGCTCTGCAGAAGTAAACAACAATTCGCGGCTCCTCGTGCGTTGTTTGCAAATGGAGGACTCCTACGATTTAGCGAAGTAAGAAAGAAGCGTGTTCGTATTATCAAAAGGGCTCGTACTGTTTGGGGGTGAGCTAGTCTGACCAGCGACGGTCCTTCTTGCGGTCATCTGAAAAGTGGCGTCTGCTGCTGCAAACTGAAACACAAGAACAACAAACGAAACCGAATAGATTACATACAGATTCTCCTCGTCAACATACTCGCGCAAACGCACCGCACATCTGCACGCTTGACGAATCTGCAGCGAGTTTTACCGCTCGCAGTTCGTGGAAGGCTGCCAGTTTGTGCAGGCTTCGAAAAGGCAGCAAGGGAATTTTTATCTACCGTTTAGCGAAACTGCCCTAATGCTGCGTCATGGAGTTCACATAAAATGTCTAGGTGTCTATGGGATTATTCCAGACGGAGAAGGTGGCATACAGGGCTCGAATCATCAGCTTCTGGGCGGTCCTCTTGGATTGAAGTGAGCACTGCTTTCTTGAGGTTTTCCAGGCGCTGAATGTCCTTTTGCAGCTGCAAAAGCATAACAAGACAGATTTCATATATGTGATTACTTGCCGTCTCGCGTTGGGGTCAAGCTAAACTAGCTAGCTGGAATGCAGCAATATGCTGTTGTTGCAAGTTTACTTTGCGAGTCGTTGCCAGCAGTTGCTTGTTCTCCTCTACCAGCTGATTTCCTCTTTGTGTTTGTTCGATTAGCTGGACTTCCAAGGCACTGCACTTTTTTTGCAAAAGCGTCACCTGAAGATAAAAATACCGCAAGGCAGCTTGTTAATAAATATGCTGCGCTCAAGAATGCTTCTTCATGAGAGCATTGTTTAAATCACCTTTGCATGCAAGTTGGAAACAGCACTACTCTGCAACGCTCCTCTCACCTGTTCCCCTCGCTCCGCAAGCTGCGTCTTCAGTTGCCTTATTTCCGTTTCAGCAGTCTGCACGCGACTCTTGTAGGAGTTCGAGACGATGCGCAACCCGAGCGCAAGCTGCTCTGAAAACACACAAGAGAGACGATTTTCCCGCGTGAAACTGCTGTCACGCTTCCCTAAGCTTCAGGAAAACCTGCAGAGGTGTAAGTATGAGAAAGGTGTTTCTCTATAATTAGCAGAATCGGTGGATCTGGCTGCGCTTGGTGCGCTTTAGGTACTTCCAAGTCGCTTAGCGGGCGCAAGCAAACGATCTCTTCGTCGCGAGCTGCCCACAGATCTCGGCTCATACATGACACAACGTGAGCAGAGAGAAGTTGGGATGAAAGGCAAAAGGCCCCGAAATTGTGTAGAACAAACTTTGCAATGAAAACTATCCGGCCGCGTCACTGTTTAGGCAACGCCGAAGTTTGCAGCTACGGGGGCCTTCGACCGTTTTGGCTACGGCTTCTCCAGATCTATGTGTATTGAACAAGAGGAAGGGCACTTATAAACTAAAAATACGAAGATTTGCTCCGACGTACCGTCGGCATCGCCGGGAAGCCAACTCAGGTCTGCGGTGCTGACGTTCATTTTCAAGTTTACCGGTCCAGGCGGGAAAAAGATGCAGCCCATAGACCTCAGGCAAATTGTTTGGAGAGAAAATTGTGTAAAAACTGAAGAAACAATAAATATTAGAGCCAGAGGAAGGGAAAGATGGAGCTGCCAGGCACAAACGCGCTGGTTCGATGCTGGCTCAGCAGCTTGCACGCGTCTGGCTGGAGGGTCACTTGCAGCCAAGTTGGACGGAAAAGAGGCCAAGAGANCTCAGCAGCTTGCACGCGTCTGGCTGGAGGGTCACTTGCAGCCAAGTTGGACGGAAAAGAGGCCAAGAGACGGCAGGAGAGAATATTTGAAAAAAGAATTGGATTTTTAAAATGAAGGTCAAGACTTGCAAATGCTGTTTCCTTCGAGGTGCAAGATCTAGACACGCCTTCCCTTCAAACAGCCTATGATCCACGCAAGTGCAGAAATGCCCCTGCAGAGATCTTGGAAGTTTTCACCACGCTAAGTGTAGATTTGCCTCCGTTCAGGCATTAGAATCTAAAACATAGAAATCAGGTGAGATGTTGAAGGAGCAGGAGTTGTTGAGGCGGTTGGCTGGTGTTTTTTTGAGATGGTCGCACGTACCAGCCGCCAAAATTGGCAGGCCACTTGCGAGATTTTGCAACTACGTTTCTCTGAATGAATATGCTCACCAGGCAGCACGCCTACGTTGCAGGTCCAGGCGAATGCGAGAAATTCAGCGTGATAGAAGTAAATATAGGGGCGAAGTTTGCCCATCCTATTCATTGCATTCAACTGAAACTGCAGCTTAGGTCTGCTGTTTGACAAGCAGATTCAGCGCTCAACTAAAATAGGAAAGGCGTGACCACAGTTTATTCTGCCTTCTTCAGAGTACGAACCAAAACCCATGCAGAATAGTTTAAGAACACTGTGCCTTCCCACAAGCAATTCAGTGTTACTAATGGACCGGCCGGTCCTACATCCTGCAGAAGCNGAACACTGTGCCTTCCCACAAGCAATTCAGTGTTACTAATGGACCGGCCGGTCCTACATCCTGCAGAAGCCATCCACTTTTACATCCACTTAAGAGTAGCTGCTAGGAGGAATGACTCGGTACTTTCAAGGAAGAGAAATCAGCACAGAGGGCGAAAACAAGATATTTCTTAGAGCCACAGCTACACACAGAGTCACAAAGAGAAAGCCGCTCGCAATGAGTGGTTTTGCTCGCTCTCGTGCGGCTAGTGAACACCTGTGAAAGCTTTAGGGAATATTTCAATAAACGCATTCCTAAGGATGTACAGGGATAGATACCGCCTACTTAGGACGTTGTTGTAAACCACTTCGCCGTTGAGAGCTACCGTGCCGCAGCCCGACACCTCAGCCCCTGGCAGTCTTCCTGCAAAGAGGTGGAGTATTAAGTCAATCTCCCATTGAATTATATGTAAACTTTACTCGTTATAGCCCGCAGAAACTGACAAGACGTGCACTGAATCCGTCCAGCGCCGTAAGCCAACCTACACCTCGCGTAACTCGTACTGGCGCCGCTGCACGCGGGGACACAACTCACCATCCGCAGCCTGTAGTTAACGGATGAAAACCAAAACATTTCGGGAAGCTTACAAGCTCTCACCTGTGGTTGGGTTATCACAGTTGCACTCGGTACAGTATGTGTGGTCTGAAAGTAAATGTATGCACTTCGGAAGCAAATTCGATAAATCTCTGCTTCCTACCTGAGACAAGAAACCCCTGCTCCGTCTGCAAAAACGCTGTTTTAAATTGCCTGGAAACTGCAAGAAGTACTCCTTCCGTCATAAGTGTCTTTACCTGCTTCGCACCCTACGCTTGCGTGGAAGCATTGAAATTAGCAAGAAGGGGTNCGTCATAAGTGTCTTTACCTGCTTCGCACCCTACGCTTGCGTGGAAGCATTGAAATTAGCAAGAAGGGGTGCAGATGGAATGAAAAATATTCAGAGCTTCGCCATACCAGTCTGGACCGGCTTGCAGCACCGCTGACATATCTTAGACTGTTATTAGTAGCAAAAGCACATGTTCAACGTTGGCCGAGGTTACCTCTGGCGAGCACATGAATCCTGAAGCAGGGGAAAACAAGAAGAGAGCCGCTGCTGCGGCGAGCCTGTATGCTGTTACACGAATCATGGTCAGAGTCCACTGCTCAGTAGAGTACAGAAAGTTTGGGGATCATTACCGAGGTCCCCAATTATCAACCATCTGCATATTTTCTTGAGCTTCGGACGAAAAGTTTGCTTGAGGCCCTTTTATCCTCTGGTGTACGTACAGTTTCCATCCCGCAGGAACTGAATGCGTACATACTAAAGGTGGAACGTTTCAGCGGCTACCCTTTCCTTTCGAGACTAGACACCTCTAATACGATTTAGTTCTCTCGGAGTGCCTATATATACCTATTGCAAAGTTGTGTGCGGCGACACTCCGTTTTTTCAAGTGTCTGCACTGCCCTCGCACTAAACATGTACTTCCGCATCTCTATCCTGTAGGATTGACAACAAATAAAAACGAAGTGCTCTCTGAAGCCTGACCCCCGCAGCGCCTACAGAGGAGCCTTGTANATTGACAACAAATAAAAACGAAGTGCTCTCTGAAGCCTGACCCCCGCAGCGCCTACAGAGGAGCCTTGTAAACGCTGCGTTGTGATAACTGCAAAAGCGTTCGTCAGGTGGTTTGAACTGCTTCCGTTGAGGGGCAGGCACGGATCAGCCGTAAGTAGCATGGCGTAGTACTGGGCGATGTAAATGATGAACTCAGTGTCTGCACAATATCCACAAAATGTGTCGAAATGCCTGTTTGTTTTCATGATGGTAGTGCGTGAGCTATCGCACAACAGCCTATAAGCTCCAAGCTCACCTTTATTAGGATTGCGGCGATGTAATCGACCACTTTATCTCCCGCAGCTTCAACACTCCCTTCACCTGTCTGTCGCACTCCTGCATGTTCTCGCACATGGTGAACAGAAGCCTGTTTTGTTGAGAGCTGTTGTAAAAGGTCGCCTATTCCACTCTCCAGCAGCCGCCGGACACGGTCGTTTGGGGGCTGGACGTGAACAGAAAAGCAACGGGACAAACGACTACCACCCTGTGCAAAAGACAGGTCGAGGCCTTCTATGGAAATCTCGTAGTCGATAGACGAACCCTCCGGCTGCAGGAAAAACGCGTAGGAACGAAATAAAGGAAAAACATCTACATCACGTCGAGAAAACGCCGAAATATTGCGTAGTGAACGCGACAAGACGGCACGCTGCTTACGTGCACTTGATATTCCTTCTGAGTCCAAGGTGCACTCTAAGTTGTCTTACCCTGTACTGAAGGGTGATGTACTTGGCGGCTCGCTCGACAATAAAGAGAGGGGAGAACGCAGCGAGACTTCTCAACTCCCTGTCAAGCGTCTCTCGCCTGAGATAAAAAAGAAAAAGAGAGAAAACACTCATTAGACGGTGCTGCGGGGATTTCTTGGGTTGCTCCTTTCCTTGCTA